GTTGCTTGGAATCATCCTGTAGAAGAACTGCATGAAACTCCAACCCATCTGCGTCAAGTGGTACCTTAGATTTGAAAGATCAAACAAGCTCTGTTCTTCTAAAGCGTTAGATGTATGATCAGCGGCAATGGCATATACCTAAACAGTAAACGAGTGTCAATAGTTAATCGAAGGCTGTCATCATGCCTGCTCGGTTTCCAGTAGTTCCATAATTTACCTAAACTATTTGACTTCTAACAAATCAGTTTTCATCATTTTACTTTGACAACGAGGTAAACACGGTTCAAAGTATCGGTAATTTATGCAACATAACATGCCGAGCAATCCCATGAGAAGATGAAAAACATGGATTTGATCTCGTGCATAAAAGAACAGTATTGAATTTCAAGTTTAATGTTCAACCGATTCATAATAAGATTACACTGTAATCACTAAAAAATGGATATTTGTAGACTGTATAGGATCAACCATAAATTTGACATCGTCGCAAATTCTTCGATAGTAGCACAAATTAATATTTAATCTAAAAAATTGTTTTTCCTGAAGTTCGCAAAGAAACAATGGCTGCAGCATATTAGACTGACAGATGCGTACACTGCAAATGATTTACTTTTCACAAATCACACAAGAGTCAAAGTACAAAAGAGAATCACAAGGAGAAGTGTGGTGGATCCCGATCATTCATGTTTTAAAAGCTGTCACGCACTCAGAAGTTGCCTGTGACGAAACCATCGTTTTTCTGAACCTGTGACGAAACCATCGTAGCACTGAGTAGCGGCACGCAAAGTTTGCCCTATTACCAAAACTGTTGGAAATTTTTGTGCTTAGGGCACATATTTGGCACACAGGCTCACACTAAAATAGCATGCAGTTGTTAGGCAAAAGAGGACAGTTAGGATAGATCCAGCAATCGGCAGTGTCGGGCTACAATCGGATAAACAAAAAGAAGATCATGCAGCAATGAAAATTATAATCATTATAAAAATTCCGATTTCTTAAACTTTAACCAAAATCTGAACTTTCAGGTATGTAGCATTAAATTTGCTCTTACCGAAGAACCCTTAATGCAAGCAAAACAATGCAAGGCATAAATCACCTGTCAGGTACCGGGCGTATTTCGCGTCCAAACTTATGTACCTTAGGACAGTTTCACTAAACGAAATTCATAGGTTCACTCGAAGCATCTCACTTTGTTCCAGTTGAAGATGGTGCTTTAGAAAAAGAATCATCTGACTGCAATTCAACACCGACATGTAGGCAGTATCCACGCCAGTTTCTCATGAAACCGTGCACAAAATTCCTCATACCACCGTTCCAAACTAATTAATAAAAGACACGTTCAATCCAGCTGGCCAGGTGTCAGACTCGATTTTATAGGTCGCACAGTGAAACCTTGCAGGTCACTAACTTTTTATCTATCCAGGACAGATAGATACTGCTGTTGAGGTAGACGATTGTTTTCCAGGAGAAGTTCTGTGAATTTAAATTTAAATTTTAAAAGTTTTAAAAACAAATGATTTTTAAACATTGTTAATTAAGTGATTTACACCCCGAATTAGGAATTTGATCAGTTAGTCTGATTCTAGGGCAAGATTCCTAATGACTTATGAACTCCCAGTGGCAAGACACGTATGACAAAAGACTGCCGTTATGCATTCTGTTGAAAAAATGAATTAATATGCCACAACCTTTAATGTATTCGCATCCGGTCTGAATCCCGGGCTGATATGATTTCAGAGGTAAAACTCTGCTACTAACTATTAGTCTTCATGA